CATAGTTGCAAAGGGCAGGGGGGGGGGGAGCGAGGCGTGAAAAGGTGTTTGGCAGCGGTGCTCCGCAGGCTGCGACTGGGGAAAGGGAAACCTTGACAGAGATGAGAGCTGCTTTAGAAGTGCATTTAAACTTGCACAGCTGACTCTCAGCGCTCAGAGGCGTTTTGCTATTTATTTGCTTTTTTTTTTTTTTGGCTATTTGTTAGCTTTTTCTGGCTATTCATTAACTTTTTTTTTTTTTTTTTTTTGCTATTTATTAGCTTTTTGCTATTTATTTACTTGCTTACCGCAATGCTCCCAAGAGCCAATTTGAGGAAGAGTACAAATCACACCAAGCTTCGCACAATGACTACGTTAAGAACGGAGAGAAAACTGCCACTAAACAGAATATCTGAGCATGGCCTATATCCCATCTGAAACGGATGAGATACAAGCACAATTATTTTCCACTCCCACTGCATCGGAATAAAACAGAATTTCTTTTTGCACAGGGTAAAAATATGAAAATTTGACCAAGTCATTTCGTTAAATCCAGATGCCAGAAAATAGGTGATGCAGCCACTGCAGTTTTTAAAGTACTAATTCTGACCCCCCAAAAAAAATTCTATAGATAGCTATGCCAGCCAGTGCAAACATGCTCCCAGAGGAAGAGCAAATAACTGAATCAGGCAGATAGGAAGCAGGGGGAGGTGTTAAAAATCTCAAAAATTTTAAGCATAAGTAGTTAAATGTAAGATTTAAAGATAGGAAATTCTCTGGTTAAAAAAAAAAAAAAAAAGAGTAACCTACATTAAAAAATTGCCTTCAAATAGTAGAAACTATATAACAGTTAATAAATATTTATTCCATTTCAGACATCTCTGCTGATCACGAATGCATCTATTTTGAAAATTAGGTCTTTTTCTTACTGAGAAAACTGCTTCAAGACAGACAGAAAATAAATGAGTTAAAATGGATTTAACCTCTGTATGCATAATGATCTCATATTTAACATAACACTGACAAGAATTAGTAAGTATAAATAA